CTAATCCTCATTGATAAACAATAGGGATCATATGATTTTGATAAAAATCAAGGAAAACTGGGATCATCCATTGTAACTCAATTTACAGGTAAATAGTCATGTCACAATCTAAATGCTAAAACTTTAATCATCACTCCCTAGACATTCCATGTATTGCATTAGTAATATAAACCTACATAGCATAGTAACTTTGTTTATGTAATTGTACTAGCTATGATAAGTTATTGTGAGGTGTAGCATTTAATTATAGTTTGTGTGTACAAAAAATAGCTATAATGCACATAACTACATATTTCCTTTAGGTGGAAAAGAGTGCATCATAGGCTATTATGACTCAACTAACAGCACTAACTTGCAGGAATGTGACACTGAGTTTTGCTGTAATGTGACATGGAAAGGTATGACATGCTAATACAAATGTGACTGTATATGCATGTATGTACATGCACTGTTATCAGACATGGGGTCAAGCACTAGGAAATGTGCTTAAACACAAACACAAGCACTTAAATGTGTTAGAAGTACCAGCACAAGCACAATCTATAGCTTTAACATAAGTGCTTAAGTACAAGAACAAGCATTCTCCAGAGTGCTTAATTACATTAATAAGTACTAGATATTCAATAAGTGTAGAAATAAAGTAAAATTACAATTATAGTTAATTTACTATTGCATCTAATAAACACTAACTCTGTGAGTTGTTCATAATAAATGGAAACAGCAGAGAGCTTTGGAGTGATACCACTAATGGTGATGCCATTACCGTTCTTCAAGTTAACATGCAATCACACAATGTGCTACGAAACTTGTATACTACATGTACATGTACATGTAGTGGTACATGTACATGACATCAACATGTACATGACATCAACATGTACATGTAGATGTACACTATTCGTTTGTAATTTTTGCTATACTTAAAAGCACTTTTGTAAATTTTTAAAAGTAATTAAGTACAAGTACAAGGCACATAGATTATATTGAAAAGGCACTTGTAAGCAGCATTAAGTACTTAGGAAGCTGTGCTTATTTGTGCTTAAGTACAAGCACCAAGTGCTTGACCCCATGCCTGACTGTTATGTAGGATGTAATCAACCAATGGATGGATTGTGTCCTAATGGCTCATGCACTTGCAGGCAACCTTTTGATAGCAGCATAATGACATCTTACATTTCTATAACAGTGCTCTTAAGCATTGGAGTTGTAATCAGTATGCTCCTACAGATTTATAATTATCATTTGAGAAATAACAAGTAAGAAGTACCTTCATAATGTCATGCTGTTACAAAAATTGATGAATTACTATTTCAATAGATATTTTAAAGGGTCATCACCCATTCTAAATGCTATCATTACATTTGGCTGTACATTGGGATATGCTAATGGTTACTTGTTTCTTGCTAATTATTACATAGGAATGACTGGTAATGGAAACCTAAAACCAATATGCAATGTAAGTATTGTAAATAAATGTCATTTCTGTGATTAAATAATGTGTTGATAGGTGACAGTATCATTGTTCTGGCTCTCACAGTTACTGATCAACTCAACCATATTAATGAAAAACTGGAGAATTTTCCGAATATTTCACAACCCATCACAGAAAAATAGAGTAATGCTTTTCCTTTAAATTTATGTATATATATTTTTCTATAGAATAATCTATCGAATGTGAAGCTATTTCTTGGAATAGGTGTCACCTCTGCTCCTGTAATTGTGGCACTGACAGTAATTCAACTAATAAAACCTTTAGAAGTGCATCAAGCTTCATTTAAGAACTACCATTGTCCTGGCTTTGTGAGTTATTTATTCTACAATAAAAATTATACAACTACTCTCTTGTATAGCCTGATAACATAGAAGCATCACTCGTAGAAGATCATTGCATTGTATCACTAACATTAAGATGGGATGCTTTGATTTTATTTTACATCATCTTTCTCTTAATCATAATCATTTTCCTGGGGTCTTTTAACTGTCGTATACCAGGGCATTTTAAGAATGAGGGAGAATTGGCCATTCTTGCAGGAGCTATGACTCTATTGCTATTTATTGTTTATATGGCAATTACTCTTGTATTGTCTAATGGCAACCCTGAGTCTATAATGATTAAAGATCAGCTGGCTTATGCTGGTGGATTCGTACTGGCTTATAATTCATTTATTTTGTTTGCCTTGTATGGATCTAAGGTATGATACAGTTCATAATGCTTGTAATATGCAGACTGTTTAATCATAGGCTATCCTGCTATTTAGAGACAAAAAAGTAAAGCCAGTGAAAAGAAAATCAACCATAAGAAGGAAGTTTAGTGACTTACATGATGAAATCTTTACGCTGAAACGCCAATTGGAAAAGGTTAGTTATTATATGAAATTCAGGATAGTTTATTTACAAAATCATTGCAGATGGATGCTAGCCGCCCCATTAAACAGTTGAATTCTTCGAGTAATTTAATCCCAAATTTCACTTTTGAAGATTAATAAATTTACTACTTTTTCTGTTTTGTTGCTCATATGTAATAATAATTGATCAAATAGATGTTTTTTTAATACTAAATTTAACCTGAGGGGCTCCATTTTGCTGCTTGTCGTGCCAAATCCCTTAAATCATTGAAATCATAGATCAGCCTGCAGAAGTCTTACTTGACACGTGTTAGCACGTGGGCAATCTATTCTACGCCCAGTCACGTGATATGGTATTAATAGCACCGAGCAATGTCTGCATCAATGTTTTGGCAGCAACTGCTTCTCCTTCTCTTCTTTAATGTGGCAAGGACCCAGAGCTCCTACCTTAACTGTAGTATAGACACAAGATATCCTCTTCTTTTCGTTGGATTCTTTCCCTGTCTCAACCAATGGGATGAAGTAGGAGACTGTGATAGGCTAGCCCTCACTGCAGTGGAAAGAGCTATAGCAGAAATCAACCAAGACACCAACATATTGAAATGCTTTGAAATAAAACTATTAGCTCTAAAAGACCTAGTGCAGGTAAAACTTTCATGTGCCATTTAGCTGTAGATTGTTAGAATACCAAATGCTTTACATTGCCCCTGGGTCAGCAGCCAGAAAAATTTTAATTCCTGATTTAATTTTATTAAACTTACGAACACTTACAGGAAACAACTGAACTAATTGAGCTTCTGTATAATAAACATGATGGTCAGCCTATTCATGGTGTTATTGGACCATACCATACTGAAAGTGCTAAAATGTTTGCTTATATTTTTGGACATTATCTGAGTACATTACAGGTATCAAAAAGTAACCATACAAAATAATCATTGTAGCGATTGTGTAGGTTTCTTATTCAGTGACTAGTGTATTACTTGATGACAATCACAGATATCCTTATTTTCACACTACGATTCCAAATGATGAGTATTTTAGTGTTGTTATAAGTAAGCTACTGGATTACTTTGATTGGCAGAGAGTGGCCATTATATCAGCATTTGATGAACAAAGTGCCTTGGTAAGACTCACTCTCACTTTCTCATTTTGAAAATGAATAGGTTTTACAGTCACTGTTTAGAGTACTTGCCCATCACAATAAGCATCTTCATATTTTTGACTCTGTCAAAGACTTGGTCTCTGCCAAACTTGTTCTAAAATCTACAAAAGTAAATGACTTATATATAAGTTGTATAGTAATAATAAAAAAATAAATAAAATAAAACTGAAGTAACTATGATATATATAACATAGCAGTAATATTCTTTAATGGTATAATAGACTATACATTTATTTTGTCCATTCATGAATGGAATGTTTGGTTTGGCTTACTTCCTATTCCATCACTGGCTTCAAGTATGATATTTATTAATTTTACATGTAGGCGGAAGATTTTAGAATATTTATTACTGTCATGGATCCAATAGATGCCAGAAATTTGCTTTGTCAGGTACAACTGATTTGTCTATGATGGCCAAATCTGAACTTTTAGGCATATCGAGCTGGCCTCACTACTGCTAATCATGTATGGATATTGCATGGTATGAATACTCCTGATTGGTGGACAGTAAATACTACTACTCATGATTGTACCAGCATTGAAATGAATGATGCTATTGGATCAGTCTTGTTTGTTGACATTCAATCATCTACTTTTACTAATATAAACCAAGTAAGCTTATTTCTTTATTATACAATCTTAATTGCTAGCACAATGTTTTTTCAAAAGGACAAAAGAAACACTATATCGAAAATTTTAAACAACGATGGATCACTAACAGAAACTGAATTTTATTCTCTCTTACATTCAAAAGTATTTAATGCTTATGATGCTGCTAGAATACTTGCTCTAACGTGGAATGTGACTATTAATAATTATACCACAGAGGAATTACATAATCTTCTAAATCAATCCTGGAAGATTTCAAATGAAGAGAGATACAATCTAGTGGAAACACTTCAATACAATTTAGTTAATAATATCAGTCCATACACTGGATTAGCTGTAAGATAATGAGTAATAATACTAATGTTATAATGATACTTTTATAAAATAGGGAGTATATGATTTCAGTAGTGATCAAAGTAAACTTGGTTCAGCTATCATAACACAAATTACAGGTTGCATGTTTATTCTATGCATGTATAGCTGTATGTACCTACATGTTATGTATATATTAGCTATTACAATTATTTTATTATGAGGATATGATATTAGATAGTGTGCTTA